TTTAAAGACTTAAATGTTATTTTAAGATAAGTTTGGGAGCTTAAGAAGCATTTTTGCCAACAAAATCTTTTCAACAATGATGGCTTGGTTTGCGCTCACAAATAGTAGCATATGGACCCATGAACATTTTGTCACGCTTTTAAAACGTTGGCGTTTTCCCTACCTGTAGGCAAATTCTCTCATGAAAATACGTTGTGTATATATATAAATATTTTCATATTCCTCGTGGGGACCGAAAAAGATATTTATGATTTCTCATTTCCTTTCCCTTTTTTCTTCTTCCATTTTTTTCCCTTGATTACAAGTATTGAAAATGGTAAACCAAATGATAGAAATAAACTCATTACTGAACAATTTTCAATCAGTGTCTGCCATGGGCCCATGGTATAACAGATATGAGTTGCCAATCAGTTAGTGATGTTTTGATAACCTTTGATCAGGAAAATAATTTATGGGCTTTTGAACATTCCAAATTCATGTTTCTCACGTTTGATGAGCCATTTAGCCTTGTCTTTTGCCCCATCCTACGCCTTATCCAGACCGCATTTTCAGTTGGTAACTCCATCAGGAAGCTTCCCATCGGCAACATCACTAGGAAAATCCAGCCCGTGCGGGATTTTTCCAGCGGGATTTTTCCAGGGTAGTTAGTCTTTGCAAAATCTGATTGCATCATACTGCAGAACACGAGGAGAAAACCGAGCGTTAGAAACTGAAGGATGTCTAAATGTTATAAATGAGTTCCTAAAAAATCAAACTCACCTTATGTCAACAAAAACCATTGACCGAAGCTGGCAATTAGCAAAGCTGCGAAGATAGTGCAAATTCTTCTGGTTAGTATGCAATAATTAACCGGACGTTGACTTGATAGAAACAATATGTGGCTATTTTTAATTGACTTGCTACCCATCACATCTATCGCAGGATAGTTATTACTAAGAATTTAAGAGAACTTTGACGGAGAAACAAAATAGGGAAAATGGATAATCAAAATATCTAATGTTAAGATGTTTAGTAACAGTCATATAATAAATTTAATAAAATTATGACTGACGTTATACCTCATACATTCAATGATTGTGATTAGGCGTTTTGACATTTTTAATACTAAAACATCTTGATTTTTCCTTTTCTCAATGAAATATTAGATTTTTAAAAGCATCAAGAAATGGTGTCTCTATACTCTTTTCATATAAGAATGAAAACATACTGCATATAGGCATATATATATATAACCTATCCAATCAAATAATGAATTGAAGAAAACTTATAAAGAAAACAGAGAGTGCATACAAGATCAAGAAATATTCAAACAAAGCATCACTCACACGACATAGTTAAAGACTTATAAAGTCACGACTGAGTTTTATAAAGAAAAAACTTACTGTGTGCTTATTTCACTTGTCATGGATGGGTGACAGTCATTCCCAAAATTACTTAGAGTATGATAAAAGAACCCACCATGGGAAACAACTGCGATCTCCTTTTCCTTCCGTGTCCACAACCTTCAGAAATTAATTCCGAATGGATTAAGGAAAAGAAACAGTGAGGAGTCACTTAACAGGTAGAAGTATTGGGGAATTACCACCACATAGGCAGTGAAGACCCACCACATTATATAATATATGATCCAGCTACTTTCAAGCTCTCATGATTGCAATTTACTTTTGTTTTTTTTTTTTTTTTTCTGTTTGTCAAAATGAGAATAAAATATTAAATATAAATAAATGGGATGGTCACCAGTTCATAAATTTAAGTCCTCGGGCTGCAACTTCTTCATTCTCTTCTCTGACATTGGTCATCCAAAAAATATCCTCCTTGTTTTGTATCTGGGGAACATTTAAACAAGAGTGCTTTCAGTATACTATCAGTAGAAATAATGATGAAGCATAAGGAATTGTACACAAGAGATAATAATTATGAGCATGAAAAATAACTTGCCAGAGAAAAATCAGTTGCAGAAAAGAGAGGCTGATATTCACTGATGCTTCTTCTCCTATCACATGGATGAACTCCCTGCAATTTGAAGAAAATGCAAACATTAGGAGAAGGCATGATATCAACAGCTCAAAAGAGAAATTTCTTGTGCACATGACTGCACCCAGTCTGGATTATTTTTCACCATTAGCATAGAGATGAAGCAAAACTATAATTCCATCCTTTTTATCTATTGATCTATATAACAGGATAACATCTGAAAATTCAATTCTGGAGATATAATTACTCATTGTTAGAAGTTGCAAAGCATACCAAATGCTCTCGACTAAGCTCAACTGCCATAAATGGTGGGCAATTCAAACTGGAAATTGCAGAACGGTTGCTGTTCCCTGCTTTTGCTACCATTAATGGAGGTGTATCTATGCCATCTGTATACCCTTCACCGCCAAAGACTCCAACAGCTGTTTGCATAGTCCTATCATGCAAAATTTTTACATCTGCTTTCAGTAGGTAAAAGGTAAAAATATTAAAACAAGAAACTCAAACTTGAGGAAAGCAGCACTGTTTGTTAGTGTCCAATGATTAGTAAAAGTCCAAGGAACAGAGAAGGCGCCCCAAGACAATGCAAATACATGAAACCTTCAAGAATGAACTAAATTCTAGAAAAGTAATACCTTAGTAAAGGCGATACAATGATTGAAAATTTGATAGTAAAAAATAGATTTCAAAAATAATCATGATATCTCCCACTCTATAAAAGATCTTGGAAATGTTGACTTAAATAGATACTGACCACACACTTTATAAATGGAACGATATTTAGCGGTCTATCAATTTAGCTAGCTGAAGTCAGTGAAGTACATGATAAATGGTTTATTTTCAATTATATTTTCACCTCGAAATATACATTGTATTAAATGAGATTTAAAAAATAATAATAATAATTTGAGTTTTCCAAACGCAAATCCTGGGAAAGAGCAGTAGGGAATTAATATTCCTTCTCTGTAACATTCTCTTTGGCAGCAGTATTAGGAAGCTGAAGACTGTACTGAATTCTTCCACAGTTTTTGCTATTTGTCAAGGAATCTAAACTCATCAAGCTGCAAATTTCAGAACATAAAGTTTTAAATTAAATGAAAAAAAAAAAAATGAATGAGAAGAAAAGGAAAACAATATACCTTTCATCCGCAATGATAACTGAACGAAGCTCACAATTCTGAAATCTACACATAATTTACAGAAAGTAATCATGTTTTATAGAAATATATGATGGAACAAAATGGGGCTTTTTTAATTAAAAAAAAAAAGAAAGAAAAGATTTCGCAAGTCACCGTTTAAAGAGATCAGTCTTCGTTGGTAGGTAAGACTTGGTTCCAAGTGCCATAAGTGTCTCCTGCAAGAATATGCCATGACTAACAATGGCAATCTCCTTCTCTTTTCTTATCCATAGCCTGCAAATATTAGGAAGAGAGTAGAGCCAGATCGTTTCAATAGATGCTATTTAGACCTAAGGATTAATTAGTTAAGAATTTAATATTTTAATTTAAAGATTTTATATTCAAATTTTGAATTAGATAAAAAAGAATTTAAGAAAAATATATATCATATGTATCAAGAAAAAAAAGTGTAATACACAAATAAAGGTCATTTTTATAAGCTTTTATATATATATATATATATATATATGTTATGATCCAAGGATCATCATATTCAAAAGGTCCAACAACTATGTTGCATAACTACTTGAATTATAATGTGGTATATTGTGGAAATAATATGCAATTGAATTATTACAATAGTTATAGATTAGGTACTCCTTGTACTCAAAATAAAATTCTTCACTTCAAAAAAAAAAATGAATTCTTAGAATAAAACAAAGAGTATATGTAACATAAAGTCAATATCCATAGAAAGGAAAGAACCAAAAGTGTCACCATTTTATAAACTTCATTCCTCTGGCAGCAACTTCTTCATGGGTTTCTTTGTGATCAGCAGTCCATAGACTATCATCTTCACTTTCTATCTGGAAACAGAAGAAAATTGACATGTTCTTTTTTGTTTTTTTCTTAAACTCCCCAAGGTCTAAAATTAACTTGGATTTTAGGCTTGGGAATACTTGCCAATGAAAAATCGACAGCTTGAAAAAGAGACTTATACTTGCTGATGCTTCTCCTCTTATTACATGGTTCAACACCCTTCATCGAAAGTAGTATATCGTATATATGTAAGAACAAAAAAGCAAATGAATTCTAAATCTTTGAAAAAACACACTAACACAGTACTATAACACAAACATCATGTTGTTAGACATACCAGACGTTCTCGACAAAGTTCAACTGCTAGAACAGGAATACAATTGAAAGATGCAATTGCAGTGTGATTTTGGTCCTGTTCCATCATAGATTGTGCTCCATCTAACTCATTTGCTAAGCCTTTGCTCCCGAAAACTCCAATGGCTGTTTGAATTGTCCTGGAATTCCATCTTTTCCAGATTAGAGACTTATATTAACGTGGTATAATACCAACGATGACTTGGTAATAAGGAGACAGATTCGATACCTTAACATGGGGGAAGTTATCACCAATTCTATCCTCTCAACCAGTCCATGTTCATAAACAAATTTTCTTAAATCACAGACCTGCTAAAGACACAATAATGTTGTAATTTCTATAGCTGAAACTCGGGGATTATATATACAAGAATAGGAAATATATACCTGCTGCCAGCCTACAGTCGAGAGGGGCGCATCAAGAAGGTCATAGGACTTCAATGCATCAGTATTCTCCTCCGCTGCTACATTGTGCATCCCTTGTGCATGCCTCACCTGGATGCATAAGCAAATATTTGTATTCATTAGTTCATCAAAATGAATACCTTAATTTATATCAGTCAAATTGGCTACCATGACTAATTGACCATAATTCTTGTGATTAAGCTTTTAAGCTAGGCCGAACACTTCTTCGAATTAATAAGATCTAGAAATTAAAATAAAAAAAATAAAATTGCATACCAGATGAAGGATTTTGAAGTCATGTAGTTGTGCAGCTGTGGCTGTGTCCATATCTGCAGAAAGGAATGGACTGTAAAAAGCTTATACAAAGTCTTTTGGACTACATATTGACATCAATATCAAACTGTTACAAACACATATTGCTTTGTTTTTGTCAGATCACCTTGCAAGTGGCAATAACAGAGAAAGCGAAAAAAGGCCGCCAAACAAAGTGCTCGAGATACCTTTCATCTGTGCAGAAAATTATGTATCCTTTGAAGTGTGGAAAATTTGCAATGAATATAGGAGAAGACCATAAGATGCCAATCTTCAACCCTTAAATTCCTAGAAATTTCCCAGCCTAATAAAACAATTAAAGCGATAATATCAAGAATTAGTAAATAAATATAAATGCAATAACATTGTCCCACATGAAAGCGATCCGAGCGTCCTATCTTTAAGAGTTTTGTTCAATTTGATTTTGTCAACGTACCTGAACCATCATAGAGCATACTACCCTACAAAAAAATAAGTAATTCAAAATTGCTAGAGATGGTTGCAATTTGCAAAGCCAAAGAGTCTGGCTTTAAAAAATTCAATTTAATAAAACAAACCAATAACTTAAAACAGGCAAAATTGGAATTGTGGATGAAGACGAGCATTATAGGTCTACAAAAAGAAGGCAGATTCAATGAATTCTGCCGACACCCGCCTGCAGTTTACTTTGATTTTTGTTGGTATATTTAATTCCGTTTTGAACCCCCAAGTCTTTAAACTATTATCCGGTGAAACATCCTCCCAACCATTTCAACAAATGCTCTATATTTCAAGAATCGAAAACTCTTGTTGAACCATATAACGAAAAATAACTTGATTAATGCATTCCCCGTGTAGTTGGCAGCCAACTACTCTAAAGTGAGAAACATGTCGAATGCACTCGGTTGAGTCCCACACTTCATTTTTCTTGAGTAAATATTAATTTAACATTACAATTTTTTTTTGTCAAAAAAAAAAACTTGATTAATTACTTACAAATATTATGAATTTTTTATCAACAACCAGATAGTTTAAGTAAAAAAAATTAATTTTTTTAAATAAAATTTTAAATTTAAATATTATAAATAAAAAGATAAATACTAAAAAAAAAAAATTTATAAAATTTAATCTTATTTACTTAATTTTAAATTAATTGAGATTTATTATAAACTCTTTTTCAAGATTTAGTTAAAAACAAAAACTTCTCAACAATGATGACTTGGTTTGCGCTTATAGGCGTGTGGACCCATGAACACTTTGTGACGCTTTCAAAACGTTAGCGTTTCCCCTGCCCGTAGGCTAATTCTCTCATGAAAGTACGTTTTCCCCTTTTTCTTTTTCTTTTTTTTGTTAAGTCCGGATTGTACAAAGAGAAATGCAATTCACGTTATAGAAGTATTGAAATATCGATAATAAATCAATTAAGATATTTAAATACTTTCATATTCCTCGTGGAAACTGAAAAAGATAATTATAATTCCTCATTCCCTTTCCCCTTTTTCTTCTTCTATTTTTCCCCTTGATTACTAGTATTGAAAATGGTAAACCAAATGATCGAAATAAACCCATTACCGAACAATTTTCAATCAGTGTGTCTGCCATGGGCCCATGGCATAACAGAAATGAGTTGCCAATCAGTTAGTGATGTTTTGATAATAACCTTTGATCAGCAAAATAGTTTAGAGGTCTTTTGAACATTCCAAATTCATGTTTCTCACGTTTGATGAGCCATTTAGCCTCGTCTTTTGCCCCATCCTACGCCTTATCCAGACTGCATTTTCACTTGGTAACTCCATCAGGAAGCTTCCGATCGGCAACATCACTAGGAAAATCCAGCCCGTGCGGGATTTTTCCAGGGTAGTTAGTCTTTGCAGAATCTGATCGCATCATACTGCAGAACACGAGGAGAAAACCGAGCGTTAGAAAATGAAGGATGTCTAAATGTTATAAATGAGTTCCTGAAAAATCAAGCTCACCTTCTGTCAACAAAAACCATTGACCGAAGCTGGCAATTAGCGAAGCTGCGAAGAGAGTGCAAATTCTTCTGGTTAATATGCAATAATTAACCGGATGTTGACTTGATAGAAACAAGATGAGGCTATTTTTAACTGGATTGCTATCCATCACATCTATTGCAGGATAGTTATTACAAAGAATTTAAGAAAACTTCGACGGAGAAATGAAATATTAGATTTTTGAAAGCATCAAGAAATGGTTTCTCTATATTCTTTTCATATAAGAATGAAAACATACTGCAAAGTATAGGCATATATATATAACCTATCAAATCAAATAATGAATTGAAGAAAACTTATAAAGAAAACAAAGACTGCATACAAGATCAAGCAGTACTCAAACAAAGCATCACTCACACAAAATGGTTAAGACTTTTAAAGTTACGACTGAGTTTTATAAAGGAAAAACTTACGGTGTGCTTATTTCACTTGGCATGGATGGATGACAGTCGTTCCCAAAATTACTCAGAGTGTGATACAAGAACCCACCATGGGAAACAATTGCGATCTCCTTTTCCTTCCGAGTCCACAACCTTCAGAAATTAATTCCAAATCGGTTAAGGAAAAGAAACAGTGAGGAGTCACTTAACAGGTAGAAGTATTGGGGAAGTACCACCACATAGGCAGTGAAGACCCACCACATTATATAATATATGATCTAGCTACTTTCAAGCTCTCATGATTGCAATTTACTTTGTTTCTTCTTTCTGTTTATCAAAATGAGAATAAAATGTTAAATATAAATAAATGGGATGGTCACCAGTTCATAAATTTAAGTCCTCGGGCTGCAACTTCTTCATTCTTTTCTCTGACATTGGTCGTCCATAAAATATCCTCATTACTTTGTATCTGGGGAAGATTTAAACAAGAATGTTTTCAGTATGCTATCAGTAGAAATAACGATGAAGCATAAGGAATTGTAAACAAAGAGATAACAATTATGAGTATGAAAAATAAATTGCCAGAGAAAAATCAATTGCAGGAAAGAGAGGCTGATATTCACTGATGCTTCTTCTCCTATCACATGGATGAACTCCCTGCAATTTGAAGAAAATGCAAACATTAGGAGAAGCCATGACATCAACAGCTCAAAAGAGAAATTTCGTATGCACATGATTGCACCCAGTCTGGATCATTTTTCACCATTAGCATAAAGATGAAGTAAAACTATAATTCCATCCTTTTTATCTATCGATCTATATAACAGGATAACATCTGAAAATTTAATCCTAGAGATATAATTACTCATTGTTAGCAGTTGCAAAGCATACCACATGCTCTCGACAAAGCTCAACTGCCATAAATGGTGGGCAATTCAAACTGGAAATTGCAGAATGGTTGCTGTTCACTGCATTTGCTACCATTAATGGAGATGTCTCTATGCCATCTGTATACCCTTCACCACCAAAGACTCCGACAGCTGTTTGCATAGTCCTATCATGTGAAATTTTTACATATGCTTTCAGTAGGTAAAAGGTAAAAATATTAAAACAAGAAACTCAAACTCAAGGAAAGCAGCACTGTTTGTTAGTTTCCAATGATTAGTAAAAGTCCAAGGAACAGAGAAGGCGCCCCAAGACAATGCAAATACATAAAACCTTCAAGAATAAACTAAATTCTAGAGAAGTAATACCTTAGTAAAGGCAATACAATGACCAACTCAATTCTCTTAGAAAGTCCACTTTCTTGAACATGCTTCCGCAGATTATCTACCTTTACATATCATACCATAGAAAAACCTATAGTGTTAATCTCTTTTACTATTGGAAAACAAACATATCATTCAGGAGCATGGCTCCAAAATAGTTATGAATAGAATGATAAAAGAAACTTTAAACAATAGAAGCTTAAACTCAAAATCAATTCTAAAGTTATGAGAATGCCCACAAAATCAAATTGCTGGATTGCTCACTTTTAGTTAAAACAGAAATCATTAACTAATAGTTACCATCATTCACTTAAGTATTTCTTATGCCAAATCATTGGTTGCAAATTTTCATCTTTTGTATCACTACTTGAAAATAATAAAAGGACTACTGAGGGATATTCACCTGCCACCAGCCAAAAGGAGTAAGCTGAGCATCAAAAAGTTCCTCAGATAAATAGAGACTACAATCCTTTTCCCCAGCTACATTATGAATCCCTTGAGCATGCCTCACCTACATACATAACCCAATGCACCAGATTGCTTGCGATCACCCAACAGATCATCATCTTCGTAGTCAAATTTCAAATTTTCAGAAACAATGGAACAGAAAATCACAAAAAAGTCACAAACCAGATGAAGGGTTTTACAACGGTGCAAAGGATACAGACTATAACCAGCAGCGGCTTCCATACCTGCTGCACTTGAAACACCAAGCATTATCTCCTTTCACAACACAAATTTGACCCAACAACGAACCAATCATGAAAATCAAAACCAGATCTTAAAATGCCAAAACACAATCTCATGACCCCTAAAAGCCTAATCTATATCAAACAGAAAGACCCAAAAGGTTCAATCTTTCAATCCAAGAACACATTTTTAACAACATTTAAACATAAAATCAACAAAAAGAGCCAGACCCAAAGAGGGGAGAGCTAGCACTTACCAGTGGGGTTGTTGAGGCCTTAAGATATAGTACTGTATTTTGATAAACTAACGTTATAAAGGGTCGTCTTGAATTCTTATAGAAGCCTCATCTCTGGTTGGTTTTTGTTATTGGAGTTGCACATGGTGATGTTCAGTTCAGCCTAAAAAAGGCAACGACTTTGGTTGGCCATCTTTTGCCTGCGTTTAGGACCGCAGAACAGAGGATTCCTTTTTCACTTGGAATCGTTTCCCTTTCACTTGGTTTGCGCTG